CATATACAGTAGAGAATAGGGCATAAGCTCATCTAACGCCAAAACAGTATGCTAATGACAAGAAAGCAGGGAATAAAGAAAAAACAAAGAGTGAGGAAGAACATACATACAACTTCATGAAAAATCTGATGGTCTACTCCCCATCAGAAATGTGCCCAAGAACTTACATATACATCTTCCACTTCATGATTTCAGGCTAATCTGTCTAATTGTATATCTAACATCATTACATATCTTCATAAAGAAACAAAATCAATCACTTTTGAATTCCTTCTTATGGAATGGAGAAACAGATAGGACAAGCAATGGAACCTCAGTAAAGACAGCATTCATTTCTCACCTTGCATGGTAGAACACCTTGCATCCTTATTATAGCCCAAATTCATTGTATTGCAACTTCCTAAGCCTCATAGAATTGGAAGTACATCATACCTTTGCAAATTCCAGAGTCTTCTTTCCTTCAGGGCCTTTGCTGAAGAAGAAGTTGAAGTAATCTGAGAAGACAACATTCTTATAAATTGGTTTTTCTCCACTCTCCAGCAATTCAGGAAAAGGAACAACAACTGCATCATCTTTAGGGTTCAGAAAGATTGGCACTGAAACCCTATTTCTACTTTTGTTAACAATCACACGATGCTCAATGCTCTTGTAACGGTCATTGCTCACAATTTGTAATATGTCGCCTATGTTAATCACGAGTGCCCCTTTGACTGGTGTTACATGGATCCACTGATCAGCTCTTGTTCCCTGAACATATAGGCCACCTACATCGTCTTGGAGAAGGATTGTGATGGTTGAGATATCAGCATGACGACCAACTCCAGCAGCAAGCTCAGGGTTTGGACACAAGGGGTAGTGCATGAGGTCGACAATAAGAGCACCCATAAGCTGAGATTCTTTTGATTCATTGAACTCCTTCACATTAAGCCCTTTCAATAGCACCTCTAGTAGCTTTCTGATTACAGGCTTTGCCCAGTTTATGTATTCCAACACCTGATCCCTGTAAAAAGTAAGAAAAAAATAATTTGCCACCAGAATGACGGAGATCTTGGAAACATAAAAATCAGAAAACCACAATCAAGGACAATTACTGACACCAAATAAAGTGGAACTACAATGACATAAAGCAGAAGAAAATGTAGTATCTAGATGTCTGATCCACTCATAGTTTCTGGGTGGAATCAAATTTTGAATTCCAGGAAGATTAAAAATTTGATTTTCCCTAACTTTAGTGATGTTCAGTCTTTTCTGCTGTAACATTTTCGAAGCTACTATGATTCATTAAACACCTTAAATATTTCTTCATGTTTCACAGGAATACTATAAAGGGATCTTTGCAAGAATGGATGCCTAATATCATTAAAAGAACAATATCTCATGTTTTCTCATGCTCAATAGATTACATGACAAAGGGTAGTTAACCAATTACACTAGAAGTACAGTAGTACCTATGAACTCTATCTGGTTAACTTGGTGCTGTTAATAAAAGTCCATAGGAACTACCAGTTTGTTGAAGAGAGGACTTATATAAATAGTGCTTGAAAGTTACATGAAACAGAATATGATTCTCAATTTTCTGATGAAATTTTCATTGTCCTCATCCATGAATCAGAAAAAAAAAACAAAAAGGCATAAGTTAAACTAATGGCCATAAACCAGCATATCTGCAAAACTTATACCATCTTATCAGAGTTCCACATCTGAGGTTAAGCTAAATAGCACAAAGGATATTGATTGAAGAATCCTCTCCAGTTTAATAGGATAGAGGCCTGTAACTGAATATTCAAAGCACATTGAAACACAATAGGTTTAGTCTTTAGCTTTCTCCTTCTTCATTCTTTCGCTTTCTTAGTTCCATGTCTGCTGCTTATTCTGTTCTCTCAATTCTACATTTTTCATTGTAAGTTATTGACATATAGCTATGTCAAGTTTACTATGACAAGATAAAGAACAACAAACACAAGAATAAGACCATGAAAGCATCAATAAGGCTGCTATAAAGTGTCAAAACAATTGGTGCAAATAAAACAACAGTGCAAGTTATATTGAACATTCATTGTTACTCTTTTAACGGATAGGATATATTTTTTCCTCAATCTAACATTACAACTCAGGCAAACTCGTCATGCTTTTGTATCCAAATGGAATGCATAATTACAGAATTTGCATAATTAGACAATTCATAAAACTAACCATTGGTTCCATTCCATCCCACTACTATTAACTGTCAGAGTCCACTATTATAGATTTGAACAAATAAAAATTTTCCAAAGCTAATTATATAACAAACAAACTAAAGCAGTTAATCACCATGTTAAGAAGAATCAGGATAAACATCTAAATGCAAAATCCAAATTCATGATGATTCTCTGCTTCTTCATTGAATAATAATTACCCAAGTTTTACCCAGTAAATCGCTGAAAAATAAAAAGGATCCATGAAATTAAGAACTTACTTGGACACAGCAGGCCAGAGATTAACACTTTCATCATCTGGGAAATACCAATGCATGAGAAAATCCTTCCACTCCAAAACCTTTTCTGCTAAACTAAAGCTAGTCTTCAACTGAACAGTGGGAGTAGGTGAATTTTCCTTCAAATACTTCCTCTTTTCCTCACTGGGTAACTCAAAGAATTTATGCCCTGCTTCCATCACATTTTTCAAGAACCTCAAGTGGGATGCCATGATTAACAATTTGAAAGAAACCCCACTTGGCAGCAGCCTCACAGATTGAACTAACAACTTCCGGATCATCCCAGTTGGATACATCAATGATTGGTATTGACTCTTCATCAACTATTTGGTTCTGGTCTAGCCTTTCTTCTGGCGGTTGGATGTATTGGTGAGGAATGGTTTTTAGGCCTAATTTGGAAAGACCCTTTACTCCATTGCCTTGGTTTATTACATAGTCTATAAGATCAATGGCTTCTACTGATGCTGCTGCCGACATTTTTCAGAAGCTAGTGGAGGAAATGAAGCCTAGCAAGCTCGATGAATGATGTTGAATCAAGTGTTCATTTCAGTGGGAGGCCAACTATTTAAATCTTTGGTGACCTCCCAATAGATTCACTTGCCACAGTCACAAACTGACACGTTGCACCCATGATAGCCATGCAAAAGAACCTTCACAATTTTGTTTTTGGTTCGATGGTAAAGCACCATCAGGGCATCTTGATTGATGAGAGTTTTTTCCCTTTTTTGATGGTGTAACTTTCAAGTTCATCACTTTTCATTTACACTCTTTTCTCCGTGTCATTAAATCCATCTCTCCTCAGATTAAAGAGAGATTGTATAATGGTAGCTTGAATTAATTTTCTTGAAAATCTTATAATTACAATACCTACTAATCAAGAAGTCAAGATATACAAATGTGGGCTCTTCTATTTTTAACCCTTAGAGAATAAGGATGAGAAGTCAATATATTTTGTAAGCAACTGCTTACGTAATTGACGGACGGAGGATAACGTTTGAAATGTATATAACAATGGATTCATTTCTTTATTTTGTGTGCTTATTATGTATTTTAAAGCACGAAACTTAAAAAACCTATGAACATGGTCAAGAAATTTTTGGATAAGATCATTTGGAAAATAAATTTTTTAATATTCACAGTATTATGTTTTTGAACTACTTTTTCGTCACATATATATCACATTCAAAAAATGTTACTATAAATGATACCTAAAATTTTTTCAGATAATATTCAATCCAAATAAACCATGTGTGTTTGGATTGAATATTATTATTTAAAATATTTGTTATAATACTTTTGTAATTTGATGTGTGTGAAATTAGGAAAATAAAAAGTTAATGGAAAACCTATTTGTGATTGACTCAATGCACCCAAAAAATTAGTGCAACAACTTTACGTAATATGTTTTTTAATGTTTTTTTTTTTTTATAGAAAAGATCATTTTATTCAAACAAATCTGCACTAATGGTAGAAAATATATCAAACAAGCATAACACAAATACATGTAGATCTGAAATCGATAAATATAATAGATCTAAGAAAACAATACAAATAAAGATTTAATTAATGCTCCTATATATCTTCCAGATGAATTAGTCCAATATATCCTTGGCTTCAAAATGGGTCACTTTAGTGTTTAAAATTTAAAATTTGGTTTAGTCCTTAAAGCATAAAATATGTCCCACTTTAGTTTCGAGGGATAATTTCAAAAACTTCCCTTGAGATTTTTAACAATTTCATTTAGCTCCCTCGAGGTTTTTAAAATTACACATACCTCTCTTGTCATTTAAAATGACAATACTACCCTTAAATATTTTAATGCACTTCCCTTGTTTGGTATTCTTATACTTAGAATGACTTTTAAAATTATTTTTTCATTCTTTTTCTTCTTATTCCTTTTTATTTTAAAAATAAGCAAGCTTGCTCAACATAACATTCGAGTGATAGGTGGAGGATTGGGTTGGGTGTTAAAGTGGGAAGGGTTGTAAGTAAGAGATTTTGAATTCAAGATCTCTCACATACAAAAAATAATAATAAGTAAAAATTTTAAAAAAAATTGATAACGTTTATATTTGAATTTAAATCTGATTTATTTTACCATTACTCATAAAAATCCACCCCAAAACGAACTTATAAAAGGGTAAGATTCCTAATGACTGTTATCTTTCTTCGTTTCCTCAAAACAACACCAGCATGAAAGTTCAACTCTTTTTCCTGTCTGCAACACTGATATACGGTACATTTTCAGGTAAATTACAGAATCTTTTATAAATTCACGTCTAGCTCTATATGAGCTTCACAATTCTTTTCATGGACGAAAAGGACTCTTAACCTCGGGATTGTCTTAGCTTTTAGGTAGGGATTGTATAAGATTCTTGTACAAGAGTTTGATATCTATCACATTTTGCAGGAGAATTTGGTGTTGAAGGTTCACTATCGTAAGAAATCATCACGTAAAAATAATTATGGGATTGAAAAGCTCTTTGTTATCGGAGACTCCTATGCTGATACTGGAAATCTCCCAAAAATGTGGAAGGACAAACCTTATGGACTGACTTTTCCAGGCAAGCCAGACGGCCGATTCTCCGACGGCCATATCCTGACTGATTTCATTGGTAAGTCAACTACATAATATTTATTTCCAGCTTAGCTACAAATATCTTATGTTAATTTATTTGTGTAGATAAGTTTTTTTGGTGAAAGATGGGATTTTACCATTTTGAAATGTATCGCAGTTAATGCCAAGACTTTTCTTTTCCATGCATAAATTTTAAGCAGAACTCTCTCAAAACTAGATGATATGAGTTTTTTGACATTAGCATATTCTCCATGCTGGTTTCTGCATGATGTACTGAGTTTTGGTTGGGTATATTTTGGAATGAGCAGCGGATTTCTTAGGACTAAAGTCTCCAGTGCCATATAGAACGAGGAATGCACAGAAGAAGGATTTGCAATATGGGATAAATTTTGCCTTTGGAGGGGCTGGTGTGGGCAAAACATTGTCTTCAGTGCCTAATTTCAGCACCCAAGTTGATTTTTTTGAAGAACTCATCAAGAAAGTTGTGTACTCAAAATGCGACCTTGAACACTCTTTGACTCTAGTTACTCTTTCAGGCAACGATTATTCTGCTTTTTTAGCAAGAGGAGGCACCATTTTGGTAAAATTACAATATATCAGAACCATTCGATTTTGGAGCATTATATATGATACTCGATCCATTTTCATAGGTTTAGCTTAGTTCAAGTTAATTTTAAAATAGAAAATTCATAAATTAATCTGAATTTATCTATGGTATTTCCCTTTGAACTTCATATACTTTTTTTTTTGTTTTTTAAAAAAGATAAGTAAGTAGCATTAGAATCTATTCTCGGAAGCAATGGATATCTAAATGAGATTTTAGAGGTTTTGGATGATAGGATGAGTATCTGAAACGTAGGGATGTGGCTAACATTTAGGGAGAAAGAAGGGAAAAAGGTTTGGATTTGGGAGATTAATCAATTTGTTGTCAAGTCAAGCTAGAATAGTACCATAATTTTTGAAAAGTGTTTGCATAAGTCTAAAGATTCTCAAGTTCTTCCATTTCTCTCTCCATTTTTGTAAGGTTTGAAATCTCCCTCTAACTTAGGGGTAAAAAAATAGAATGCTTGTAGATATGCTACAATCTTTGGTACTCCTATTTTACTTTTGAATGCTCTTTGTGTTTTACCCCTGCCCCTAAGATACATGTATAATTTTTTCCGCTTCTGGAAATTGAGCTTTTACCCATGTGGAATCATGTATATTTTTTTGGGTACACCTTTGTTTATATTCTTGTAAAATACAAAATGTAAGGGTACCCAAAAGAAATTAATAAATGATGTAACACAACAACCAGTGGCAAATGAATTTGATGCATGATTATGGTTTTACAACACAGTTTTTCATTCACAGGATCTCATAAATACTTTCATCCCTGGTGTGGTGCAAAAACTTGTAGCGATCTTGAAACGCATTTCAGAGTTAGGAGTGAAGAGAATAGCACTGGGGTCGCTGCCACCAATAGGATGTGTACCTGTAATTACAATAAGCAGTGGTTTCAAACAATGTAATGACACCGCAAACATGGCGTCTATACTACATAATTCCATTCTAGCAGATTCTGTGGCACAGCTGAACAATGAGAGCTTATCGACTCAATTCGAGATTCTTGATCTTGATGCTGCATTCACTGCAATTATCCAACATGTTCAAGATCGCAAAGGTGATTTATCTTACTTTCTTGATCGTGTTGTTTCTTCTGTTTTTCAAATGTTCACCCTGTTCAATTATCTAGGATTTATCTTGGTGGATTCTTTTATTCTATGCGGATAAAAAATGGGGCCAAAAAATTGAAAATTATAAGCAAAAACGTGCAGTGCAGGTGAAATAAGAAGTAAGGAAGAGTGATATTTGGGGAAAGGTAGGGTCGGGTGGTAATTAAGGTAGGAAGAGTCATAAGTAAGAGGTTCTGAATTCAAATCTTCTTACTTATCAAAAAAAAGAGTAAGGATATTTTTAGAATTTTATAATAGGTCTACTTTTTTTGGGTGTGCTTATCCTAGAAAAAACCTAATCTTATATAAAGGAGTCTTTTTAAAAAAAAAAAAAAATATAGTATACAGTAGTCCTTAGACAAGCTTTAAGTTTATATTTTCACTACATGTACGTCTTTTAACACAAATCTTATGCCAGAATATGGTTGCTTTTCCTGTTTTTCTTTCTTTTTCCTCCGTAGAACACAATGCTACTATGTAAGAGTGCGTTATTACCTCAGTTCAAGTCTAAAAATCTCTTCTCAAGAAAACAACTTGCACAATGGTTTTTTCCTTTTTTTTTTTTGAAGGGCCTTCTCTTGTTGTTGTGCTCTTCCTATTCGTGAAGTAGTGATAACAAATTTTTTTTTTTTGGGGTTTGATGCACCAAAATTGCATGCAGAAGCTCCATTAACTCCTTGTTGTCAAGGGATAGCAAATTATTCTTGTGGAGATGTGGATAGCAATGGAAAACAAATGTATACAGTTTGTAGAAAACCCAAACATGCATTCTTTTGGGATAATGCGCACCCAACACAAGCAGGATGGCATGCAGTTTTTTCAGTTCTTAAGCCCACCATAAAGGACCTCTGCGAGTTTAGTTAGAAATTTGAAGTTTGATCTTATTTTCTTTGCTACTATTTTTTTTGGGGTGTTTCCTAAGATCTCAGCATCTGGTGTCACAAGCGTACTTCTGCAGCAAATTCTGAATAAGTACTCCTAAATCGTAGGAAATTCCCTCTAACACTGTCCAAGTAATTTGAATTTCTTTGACTACCATTTGTAAATACTTCAAACCCGCATGTGGCCCTATAGAAAATGCTAGTGACAATGAAGCATAGTTTGATTTTGGTAAAACTCTTTTCTTTTGGGACTATGTGAGGAGTCATTATTGATCCTCTTAAAAAAAAAAAGATAGTGAAAATATAGGCTATATTAGATGGGATATTACAGAATTAGGTTCCTCTACATTGACCTTAATTAAGTTTAAAATTGAATTGACTAAGTGATCGGATCATTTGTTTAACCGTTACAATCTTTCCATTATAATCTTTAATAGAGATTTTTGTTTCATTCTACACTATCAGTGTTCATTGCAATTCGTCTTACACTGCTATACTATCCAAATGTTCAGTACAAGGGAATTTGATTCATTGTATAGCATCCGAACGGATTTGAGTTTTCAATATGTTTATTTACTTGACAAACACACACACACACATTGCAGCGTGATCAGATAATTTTAGAAGCCTTAGTGAGTAAATGATAGATAACTATGGAGAAAAGCTGTAGAATTCCTGATTGAATAGATAGTTGTCAATAAATAAGGCAAGTATTCTGCTATTCCCAGATGGATATGACTTTTCAATACGCTGATCATTATCTTATCAAAAATTTTATTTCCATTTCACAAAGTTGCCAAGAAAATAAGGCAAGTATTCTGCCCTTGTTACATGGCGTTTCAATATGTTGATCATTATCTTATAAAAAATTGGGTTAAAAACAAAAAAGTCCCCTGTAGTATATCTAATATATAGAAAAGCCCCCGTGATTTCAAAATATACAAAACGACGCGTCATGTTTTGAACTAAATTGTAAACTAATAAAATTCGTTAAACTTAACGAAATCCGGTAAATTTAACGGAAAACTTAACGGAATCCGGTAAATTTAACGGAATCTGATAAGTTTAACGGCCGAAACCGTCATTTTCGTTAAATTTAACGAATTTTGTTGGTTTACAATTTAGTTCAAAACATGAGGTGTTATATATTTTGAAACCAAAGGGGACTTTTCTGTATATTAGATATACCACAAGGGGTTTTTTTATTTTTAACCCTAAAAAATTTTATATCGGAGGGGTAAACAAAGAAACTTTACTTCAATTTGGACCAACTTCCTCAATCATTAGTTTTGACCAATTCGAAAGTACGAGAATAGATAAATAAGGACTCTACAACCTTAATCGGCCTTAATATCGAATTATTGTACTTTGTAATTTTATTTGGAACACTTTTATTGGTCAAAAGCTCAATTGGTAGTTACTTTGGACTAAGATAAAATTTACCGTTATCGTTATACACCCAAATAGAGCAAAAAATTGCTTTATTTCTCTTTCCAAAAAGAGAAAAAGGAAACAAACAATCAATATCAATTAAGCCTGATTGAATTTAAACTCAATCCTTTTCCGACTCTACTAGGGACATCATGGAAAATTCTGCGTATATAAGAAATAGAAGTAATAATAGTTATCTTGCTTGATCTTCTGCCTTGTAATTCCTTCCTCCGAACCCCTTTTTATCTGTTTTTCTGCTTAAGTATGATTCATTCCGGAGCTTCTGCGATGAGTTTTGCACATACAACGGCGGCGTTTGCTTGTCTCCTTGGTACCAATATGTATACAACAAGGTTCGCGAGAGAGATTAGATAGCTCGATGTGAGCATTCCATGCAGTCGGACAGAAGTCGTGATCTTGTCAAACGTGTTTGAAGACTTGTTTTATTCATCCATGCAATAGCTAGACAACAATTCGTTTTAGTTAGTTCACCTTTTTCCACATTTACAGAATTTCTTTTTTTTTTTAAGTGGTGAAGTTGTAGTAGTTAAGGTCTTTTTCCTTTTTTGGATGTATGCAAGTCCAATCGTAATTTATAGAGCAAATTATTAAAGTAATCACTGTATTATTTAAATAGTCGAGTTTTGGCCACTCAACTATTAATAGTATGTTTGTACCCATTAAACTATTAAAAGTATAATTTCGGTTCATTCTGTCTAATTTTATCGTTGATTCTACCATATATAACTATTAATAGTATGTCTCATAAATCGTGTGGACTCTTATATCTAGCAAAATTAATGGTGGAATTAGACGGTCGAATTTTATACTTTTGATAGTTCAGTGGGTAAAAACGTACCATTAATAGTTTAATGGCCAAATCTTCATTATTGAAAAAGTTTAGTGGCTATTCAGATAATTTGCTCTAATTTATATGATATCCGATTTACAATTTGGTTCAGTTCCCACATATAGTTATTGTTGATCATATATCTTTCTCCAATCAAGATTTCTGCTAGAGCAAAGGCTGGTGTAAATGTTAGATCGATTCATATACTGCTAGAGCAAATTTGCGTCAAACAGATTGAATTGTCAAGTGTTAATCCCAATTACTAGCTCATACCAATTCGTCAGGTGCCCCACAGCTGCTGCTTCTGATTTTGCTGTCTCTCTGCTTGTACGGACATGTCTTCTCTCCCACTCTTACCTCTATCCCCCCTTCTTACTGGTTTCCCTTTGGAGCGGTACTTTCGATCTCGCTTAGAATTGCATAATGAGTAACTTTCCGTGGCAAGAATTGCCATATCCACCAAGTCGAGCATTGCACCAAATGTTATGGCACCAATGAGTCCTGCTGCCGCAGATGGTGTTACGATAAGAGCTGAAATTGTATAGCATACACTAAAATGTAGTAATGACAAATTCAGAATACCATTCAACAGGTCATTTGCTTGAAATAGAAAATAAATGGTGAAAAGCGACGACAAAAATGGCACTGCGTTAAAACCCCCGCCCCGTGAGCCCCCGCGGGCACCCGCCCCATTGCCATCCCTAGAAACAGATCGATCCCCCGGTATCCAACTTTGGATCGGACAGGTATTCTGATTTTGAGATTGGGTTTAAAATAGAACTAATTCCGTTCATACCCATTAATTAATGAGAATTTTTTAAAAAAACTTGAGTACTCGTTGAGGTACAAGCATCTCACCAATTAATTCATTCAAAAACTCCTTCTCCTAAACGGATAAACTTTGTTGTTGTTACTAAAGATATGGGAAATAAAGCAGGGTTCTGTTCCAAGTTTCAATGGACCACGGACATTCTAATTTTGAAATTAGACTTAAAATGGAACTAATTTCATTTATACCCATCAATTGATGGAAATTCAAGAGAAATACTAGCCCCTGACATCTCACTAATTAATTAATCCAAAATCTCTTGTCTCCCCTGATGAATAAACTTTGTTGTTGTTACCAAAGATATGGGAAATATAGCGGGGTCACATGGTTAGAAGTTCTTTTGTCCTCAAATCCTATTCTCATTCTCTTTTATATTGCAAGGGAAAGATCAAGATAGTAATTCTAGATTGAGTTTTAAATTAGACCATCTAGTTACCTAGGCAAAATGATTCTGAAAATTTGCTGGGTGTTAAGTGAAATAAAATATAGGAAATTGTGTTATTTTTCACTTGTTAAGCTAAAGCATTCAAGTTGATGCGTCTCTAGTGCATATGTGAGAAGTTTTAATGCAACTAAACTTTCGTGCTCACACTTTATTGTTGCGCTACAACTAATTTCACTAACCATGCTTTTTCACAGGCTACAGCAACATAAATATAGGTCCATACAATGGCATTTCTTTATAATCATAAATACAAGTCTTTTTATGTTTTGTAAGACTTATTTTTTTTGTCTGTACTCTGTATCACTACCATCGTTTTCACCTTCATTTTGTTTGACAACAAATGATCTAACAACTTGTCACTTGGTAATTTCATTGTAATAATAATTACAAGAGAGAGAGAGAGAGAGAGAGAGAGAGAGAGAGAGAGAGAGAGTGAGAGGATCTATTTTCATAATAATGAGGTTTCCATATGTATTAGACGGCTGTGTAAATGGTAGTTGCGGAAAAAAATAGTAAATTATGAGATATAGGAGAAAGAAAGTAGGAGAGAGAATAAGAGCTTATTTTGTATGCGCGACTGTTGCTTTAAAATGAAAGACTAGTTATAGTTGTAGGATTTTTTTTGTAGAAATTATTTAAAATTGAAGGATATCATAATTATTTTACTACATGAAAGGAGGTTAGTATAATTATTCAAACCTGAAAGGATGTGACTGAAATTTTTAGAAACCTTAGGGGAGATTTCTAAAATTATCCCCAAAACTATTAAAGAATTTTTCAATCTTGTTATCAACTTCTATATTTTCATTAAAGACCGAGGAACCTAAAAGCAATTAGTTTGTTTATTGGCCACCATTTGCATTTGTTGGAAGTAACCTAACTAATTGCTTTAGATATTTCTTTTTAGTGCTCACGGCTTGTTGCTGCACATGTTTGCAATTAAAGTTCGAAATAGAAATTGGATGCTTACTTCACCTCGGTTGGATTCACATCTCTAGTTCCCCTCACACTGAGTGCTTGTCAAAATTTGCTTTCCTCCGTCGGTGAAGTCCTCTTATTTTCTTTGTCCATTAATTTCTAAAAATTAAGAGATAGATTTGGTATGTTATAAAATTCAGAAAAGGGCAAATTTAGAATGAAATTGTATTCTCTCCGCCAAAATGAGTTTTTTAATATTATATTTGAAATAGTTTTCAAATGTTACAAAAAAGTTTAAAATAGGGAAGTTAAGTGAGATTTTTAAAATTTTAGGGTGCCAAGTAAAATTGTCAGGAACTAAAGGAGAGGGTTTTGAGATTATCCCGATAAAAAAGGTACATTCAAATGGCATGTTGGCCTAAAATTTTGATTGAAATTGTGAGGTAAAACACTTACTTAATCATAGCCGTGTTCTGTGCAAACTCTTTAACTGCACTAATTATCAATTAG